GTAGATTCTTCATCAGATTAAGCCCTACAGCTTCCTGAGATTTTTGAGTCAAACACGAACTTTCTTCCATGTTCTTTCTAGTGAACTGAAAATAGTATATTCTCAGACTAAATATTTGCAGGTTCCTAGAAGTCTTTGCAAAATAAGCTTATCATCAATTGATGTCTACTTGAGTAGAATTTACTTGTAAACTGGAAAAAAAGTCTATCTTAAAAAAATAAAGGAAATAACATGAACTGTAGGCAAACTCTCCTTGAAGCAATATTTCTGTTTTTGGAAAGTCAGTCACAGACTTTCATACTTCCAACTGCTACCTTTGGTACTTAGTCCGTAATGAAGATCTCAGAATCTGTCATGTTTCAATTTAAACCTCTTACAAACTCAAGCAGCTATATAAAACCCCTGCTGTATCACCTTCCCCAGAGACTGCTCAGCCCACTCAATGCATAACGATACAACCTGAGTGGGTGAGTCAAATCTCACAGATTGTTCACACAAATATTACTCACTCCTACACTTTCTTTGCAGTGAACAAGATCACTTCTCCCAGATTTCTCCCATTTTCTGCAAGTCAACTGAGATTAATTTATATGCCTAAGAATACTTTCCTAATGATAAAAGGAAACCTTTTTGTTAGCACTTTCAGATTTTAAAAGAAAAAGAAAACTTTTATATATTATAACCTTGAAAGCTCTCACTTTGTCTTCAGAATTTGGCACTGAAGCTTTTCATGTGATACAATGAAAACACAGAGACAACTGTCACGCCAAACAAGAATGCAGCTCCATAAGAACCTGGCACTGGCATAGTTCACAGTACAGTTCTTTCATGCATTGATCACTCTTTTCCCTTCCTATTAMGACACTGACAAACTAAATCAGAAAGGAAGCCAAGAACGGTTTTCAAGTAAAAACTTAGCGTTTTCCTTCTCTTAGAATTCATTTGCATTAAAACTGTCCCAGATCTGCTTTCACAATATAATTCAAGACCATCAATTGCTTGTCAAGACACACATGCCTCAGCTACTCTGTTAATATATGTTCCAGGGTTCAGAGACCATGCCCTTGTCTGACAAATTTGCTCACTGACAGTAAGAATACTGAAATATTTTACCAATATGTGTCACTGTCTCAGTAAATGACTTGAACTGCTATTTTGTTTGAAAAGCTCTATGGTATCTTAAGTAAGCCATTTCCACCACCTTTTCACATTTCCCTACCTTTGCAATCAAACATGTTAAGGATTAACAAACTTAGTTAAGGACATGTTTCTTCATGGTAATATATACCACAAAATGCAAAATACCACAAACGCTGTCAAAACATGACAGTGTCTCTCTCATCTCCTTACTAATTTTCCTATGGGAAGATAGAAAGTTGCCCTTAGATAAGGGTAAGAATACACAAATTTTAATTGAATGTAAAGGCAGATTTAAGTAAGGCATCTCAGTCTAAAGACACTATCAGTAAACCACAAGCAGCTTTACCAAAACCAGCCCAGAGGCAAGGAGGGGGGAAGGGAATGATGACTATAATCTCTCACAGCTGCCCATCAAGGTCCAGTACTCCCATATGTGTCTTATTGGCTGTTGCTACAGACAAGTGCTACAGGAGCCAACAGCAAAAACTTGCAGGTCTGCTGCACCTCTCTGCTTCCTGTACAGTTAATTATTTGGAAGGTACWTTAATTCCAGCATGTGTTTTGCCTCTTGTAAGCTCAGTATGAGTTCTTCCWTTTCCCCCTGCCATTGGACAATTTCACACTTTTGAAGTGTCAGTGCTCCTACCACCCAGCAACTTAGTTCAAAACTTCCAGCTATCAGATGMCTTTTTATGGACCTTTTTCAGGTGATTTAGAGCTATTAAATTTGTATCATATATGATTCCCCTATACCATGTGAATAGCAGATGCTGTACTGTCATATAAGATATTGTGTTTCCTTGACCTTGTGAGTATACACCTGCTATTGTTTCTTTCTCTAGATTTTTTCCCACTTTTTTAATCCAATAATTCACTCCTGCTCTAAGAGGAATTCCCCACTCAAAGTGGATTCCCACTGGCTCGTAGGACCAGGCAGGTATACTGCAAATAGAGTAAATGTGGATTCCAGTTCTGAATATGTAGTTCACAAGTGTGTTAAGCATTATTTTAAATTCTCATGTCTTCATTACCTATCAGCCTAAGTGATGACACAGAATCATTCCAACTCAGACCATTTTTCCTCAAAGCATCAAGGAAGAGATGACAAAAATGTAGCTCTTTCAAATCTCTTGAGACTGTGAGGTTACCCTGCAGAAGTCTGGTAATACATCATCCATGACTGCCTCTTGTCTCTGAATATCAAGTGTACATTTACTACATGAATCCTAGAAAGGGATCTGATCATGCATCTCAGAATTACCCACAGGAAACAAACTTCAACTGATGTACAAGATAGGGCCCAGCAGATGTTACCTCAGCCCCTGTACCCAGATATCACTGCACACTCTTCCTGCCCAACTCTGCTGTGATCACAGTGTTTCCCCCCTTYGTTTGCTCTCAGTAACCACCGCTGTTCACACTACTGGAAGCGATGCATGAGAAGTAAGCAGGCAGCTTGATGAGTTAACAGCAAAGCTTTCCCCTGTTCCAGCCCAAGCGTACTCTTGGCCCCATAGCCACAAGAGCAGACATTTCCTATATGGGTTTTTACTAAGTTAACTCTTTGTGGGTTCTTCTGTTTCTGAGGCAGCTTCCTTCTACCTGACCTGGTGGTATTAAATCACAGGTTGCTGTACCCTCTCTGCTTGAGTCAGTGGATTTAYATAAGTTCCATTTCTTGGGATCCTGTCCATGCCAATGCTCCATAATCTATCCTACTTTCTCCCTAATGTTAMTGTAATTCAAATTACTAGCTAAATGTTCACCTACCAATGATGCATAAATCATTAGCCTTCCAATCAACAGATCACTTTTTTKGGGGGGTTTAGCGACTCTAATGTAATGTAATTCAAAGAATTATTATAAAATTTYGAAGTCATTCAGGTATGTTCCACCTTTGAGGAAATATTCTTGTCATGGCTGCAACTTCAGTAGCCATCACTCTTACTGTTTTTGTTCACATCAAGCTTTTCTCCGTAAAATCAGATTATACTGAATGCTTCTGAAGAATCTATACTCTTTCTGAAATTAAAATGTACTAATCATTTATCTATAAGCTTTTTTTTTTTTTTAATTTTGGACTCAATTAAATGTTCAACTAAATGTTAAATGGAGACTATCTGAAGTTTAAACTTGAATCTTCCCCAGAACAGTGAAARAGGAATCAATATTGTAAACATCCAGAATTGAAACAACATACAACCGAAGTGTTTTGTGGCAGTGTAGTTCCTTGCTATGGTCCACCCTGGGTGCTGAGAGGGTCAGAACTGCCCTCCATACATTRCACCTCCACCTAGCAGAGTGCATACTTCCATCCTGTTGAACTCTGACCCAGGAATTTTAGACTGAACACTCTCCATGAGCTGGGCTGACCAGCTATGCCCTGGTTAACCTCACGGTGGTTAAAGCTTTATCTTTACATAGCTCTACAATCTTGCCGTTTGGRGAATGGCTATCCTCCCTTTCTCTTATCGTTTTCTTTGACTCAGCTTGTTTCTATGGCTGAAAAGCTTATCCAAATTGCAAATGTGATATTCATTCCACCACCTGCTACCCAAATATTAGAGATATGTAAAGTTTTACTCAGCAGTCTCGTTTCCAGTTCCTCAAGTTCCTCTTGAATCTTCCAGGCACTGCTGGTTCGAAAACAGCACTTTCTGCATTCCACGAATGTGAATATCAGCCCTTTGGGAGGCAGCATCATCTAGTGAGGCAAACTAGCTCAGAACTTCATAGGGACTTGAAAAGGATGCCACCAGCAATACTTACAGTGGCACAGGCTGCCTTTCACAAGAGGCCCGTTTTATTAGACATCTGGTCTCCATCACAGGGAGTTCTCTGGTTAGCATGGCAAAGCACAGGCAAAATCTTCAAATGTTGCAGAACTTGCTCTGCAAGCCAAGTTCTCGTATTTCATTTGKTCTGTAAAATTTGTCTCTGAACACAGTGATTTCTAAATCCCCGCACCAAAACCTTTTTGCCATGTCTTTTCATTGCAGACTTCATTTTCTACCTCCTCCASTGATATATCCCTCTTGTGCCCTAAATTTGCTCCCACCTGAAAACATAGCTGTTGTCACTGGATCTTCCACRCAGTACCTGTTGGACAAGGGATCCACACAACTCCCAGCAGGTAACAATACAAAATCAACGTGTAAAATGAGTTAGACACGTTAGTCATAAATTAATCATACTTTTGCATCTTCCCAGCTTTCCAAGGAAGACTAGATGATTTCCATGTCACTTCTTTGACCTTGCTCATGCAGTTATTTTCTGATTCCAGTAATTCAGTGTGCTACGTGTCTCCAACTGTTGGACAGATAGTTCCTTTGCTGTTATCTATGCAAAGTGCACTTGGATGCACTTTTCATGTGTTTCTTYGCTTTACTGCTCTCTATTGATCTTTTTCCATTCAGTGTCAAGAAACTGTCTCCAACAGGACTCCGCTCACTTCACCACATCTCTTTCACATCCATGTTTTCAGTTCAGCTGTCCCTAAGGCTCAGCATGACAAACATGGCAAAAGTCAGTTTCCTTCGCATCSCTCCTAAACCTCTTTACCACAGTGTCCGTAAAGAACTTCAAAAACACATGGGTTGCTATGGCCACCTCCTATACATAAATATGGTCTGGTAGTTTCCTAGTTTGCCACCTTTTTATTATTTAATAAACAAACATAACCATTTAGAGGATAAGCACATTTTATTCTTTTACGCGTAGCCGTGCAGTAGGCACAGTGACACAATCAGCAAGCACCAAGTGCCATCCGTGGTGAAACAGGCTGTGACAAAGCGGTGCCGGGTCCCGCCCGCCGTGCCCAGGAGTGGCCCCGCGCTCCGCTGCCGCCGCCGTTGCCCGGAGAAAGCGACGCAGCCGCGCCAGGGCCGGGCCGAGCATGGCGGGTCCCGCTGCCGGGCCGCAGCCGCCGCACGCCGCTTTCTTCGGGGCCGTGGCGCGGGGCAATCCCGTGGTGGACAGCTTCGAGACCGAGCTGCGCCGCGCCCTGGGCTCCCTGCGGCGGCTGCGAGGCGCGGGGGAGACCAAGCCGTCGCAGCACGACCTGCATCGCCAAGGGTAGGGCTGCGCCGCCGCCCCCTGGTTCCCGTGTCGCCGCCCGCTCCGGGAGCAGCTCGCTGCTCTCTCTGTCCCTGTCTCAGCTCCCTTTCTCGGCCGCACCCCTCTTTTATCTCTCTCTTGCTTCAGCCGCCCCGCCGCTCTCGGGCCGCTCTTCCCAGCCCGCCGCTCTCGGCCCACCCCGGCGCCTCGCCCGCTCCTTCCCGGCTCCCCCTCACGCCACATCCATGGGCTGCGCTGAGTCCTGCGCCCCTGSGCTGGGACATAGCCAGCAGTTCGCTCACCGAACAAACTTCCACACCAGTGTGCCACAGCACCGGCAATCCGATTCCTTTTTTTTTTCTTCATTGTAATGAAAACTCCTCAGAAATCTGAACGCTTGCCGGTTTTTTTTTTTTTTTTCAGTACTTCCTACAAGTCGGTGCTTTAGGGAAAAAGCACGAGGTGCTGTGGAAGTTGGCAGCTGCCTGAGTTGTTGGTTCTGTCAGAGCTGCCTGAGCTTCTTGGTAGGAAAATCCCTTCACAGTGCTGGAGGGACTGGCAGCCCACCAGGATGAGCACTTGTGGGCACGTACATGCTTACCACACAAGGATAACATCACACGGGTCTTTTTGTGCATATGTTTCTGTCTGCGTTGGTATATTTTTATACACAGAGATGCAGGCAGAGCATATGGCGAGTATAATAGTGCATATTTGTTTGCTCTCATACATGCATATCTGTGGATATGCATAAGTCGAGATTTTGTAATGCAGTTAACATAGARCAACGGGAACCGGTGTATGATTCACAGTGCATGCATATGTCTTTTACAGACTGTGCATTTCTCATGTAGCTCTCCCTGCTGCATTAGGTACATTGTGATATAACAGCTCAACTACTTCTTCATTTGCTATTGTTGTTGTCTAAATACTATTCTGTTCTAAATTTAAAGGTCTTTGACATAAACCCCACAAGTTTCCCAGATATTCAGAAGTTCCTTCAAAAACAGCATTGGAGTTAGGCTACAGGTTTTTTTTTTTTTTTACAGTGGTTACCACATCACTTAGGTGTAGCTTCTACCCTTGCATATTTCACTCAATGGTTTCTTAGAAATAGTCCAGAAATTACTCTGCTCTGAAGGAGCTGTATWCATTTCAGAAGGTACTCAGTTCCTGCAGCCTGGCCTTTTCTGAACTGGAGATCTTTCCTATTCTAAGCTGTCTGGATTCCTAATTTGTTTATGGGGCATGTTCATCGTCAGGTCTAGGCCTAGATGTGTCATGAAGGTATCAGTCTCCAGGGTTTTGCCTCTAGTGTTTTGAATCTCAACATGTTGGCTTTTTGTATTGTTCAGCAGCTGATTTCACTGGTTTGCTATTTTGCAGGCTTTTCGTAGTTTCAGACCTTTTTTTTTTGTTTCTGCTTTAGCTGATATGTATTATTTAAAAAAATATCCTCTCTAGGCCCCCTTAGAAGAAGTAACACTACTTGGCTGTTACACTTCTTCAGAGACCACCAAAATTGCCAACAATGATTCATTCTTCTGTGCATTCCTTGTATCCTCTGTTTGGGAACTGGCCATGCTGAATCTGGTCTCTTTCCAATATGGTGTCAAGTGACCAGTTTTTGTGCACAGTGTCTCCAAGCCTTTTTTTGCTTTACCCTCTCAAATATTTTGACCTAAGTAATCTCTCTCTTATTCAGACTGTTATTTTGTGGATGTTATCCATGACCSTGCATACATTGGTTGGCATGAAAGCATTTTCACATCTGCAGTCCTCATCATGGAGATGAGAGCTGACTCTATCCAGAAGTCACTGGTGRTAATGATCCCTACCAAAATTCCAGGGCATTGGGAATGTTGCGTAACATRAAGCTCCCAGTAGTTCTGCATAATCAGATGTTCTTCATTTGTATAGGGGCAGTACAGAGGTAGAAGATTGGTATTCTGGTTATTTGCATTTGTTCAGGCAGCTAGCAAAGTCATGACTATTTATTTGTGATTATGAAATTTCAGGGTTTTTTCTTCCCTACTGCGTCATTGTCTGATAATTCAAAATTGGAGCATTGATGCTACTTGCAGAACCAGCCTTAGGCTGGGTAGTTCTAGGAATTTCTGAAGGTAATGGCTATAACAGGTACTTTCCTAAATGCTCTAAAGACTGCTTGCTATGTCATTTGTCAAGCTATCTTTTTATCTTTCCTGGCATGGATTGAGATCAAAGTGTTCTTATTCTTTGAGCAACAAGAAAACCAGCTTCCAYATGGCAAATGTGATCAGTTTAGAAAAATGAAATTATCAGTTTCATCCCTCCAACTCTTTCAGCCTTTCATGTTTATAGATCAACAGAAAGGCCATAATTTAGGCACTTAAATGTCCTAATGTAGGAAACAAAAATCACCAAAGACCTGCCCTGGTATCACACATCTTTTCAGTCAGAAATAGCAATCAAAAGTAATTTTTCCTCAACTAAACAAGTTGTTTTGTCCCATTTCTCTTGGCAGCAGGGCCATTAAAGCATTACCTTGAGCTATTGATTTTATCTCATGTTGTGTGGCTTAGCATTCTTATTAAATAAGATGTGTTTTGATCAGTATCAGAGAATTCTTTATACTTGTAGTAAAGATTTTAGCCATGTGAGCCTCGTCCTTTGGACACTAYTATGGGTTGACCTTAGGGAAATTTTTTCTAATTATGATAGAAATAAAGAAATTTGAACTCTGAGCTCAATCAGTCCACTATTTTTTAGAAGAATTTTCTTGCTTAACTTGTTCCTCAGTTGTCCTACATCCTACAGTTTAATGGAAAGGCTGAGAAGCTGTTTGGAAGTATCTCAGTCTCCTCTTTTGTCTATGTGAAAGAAACATTCCTGTGTCATGAACTCACTTGTAGTTACTCATGGCATTGTAACAGAATCAGTTTACCTTAATCTTTCCACTGGAGCTTAAAGTCTGGTCAGGTTTGTCACCACTTTGCTAAACTAATTTCTTACTTGTTCATTACATCTGAGAATCTCATGTGCTAATATGAACATACAAAACAAAAAATGAAGATGACCTTTGCTGGGGACTTCCAGCTGATGAGTCTTAAAGAAATTTACTAGTCTCACCTTTCCAGAGCTTTACCCAGGGGCATTCTTGTTATCTTTTCTCCCCTTCCCCTTCCCCTTCCCCTTCCCCTTCCCCTTCCCCTGTAATATCCATCAAATCTCTTAGTCTCTGTAAGTTTTTTACTAAATTCTTCCTTTCATAGTCCAAGGGAACTCTGCTCAGCTGCTTGACAGATTCCTTTACTTTGGAGGCACTTTGCAGTTACTAACTGGTATGGAATATTTTTCTCAGTATGAGAAGTCAGTACCCACTTAGGCTGTTAAATGTCRTGGATGGACCAGGTAGGGACTCATACCCATTTGCCCTTCATTACACTGGGCTGTGGTTTCCTTAAAAAAAATTTCTCCTTAAAAACGTCTTAGAACATTTTATGCCAATTGTTGCTTTTGGCCTAGTTCGTGCTGTTACTGMATTTTTCCTTTAGGATACACCTCTAGGATGTCCTACTTCTTTCCTTGCCTCTTACTTTCAGGAACTGAAAATTGTGCTGAGATTATACTTTTGAAAAAAAAAATTATGATTGTTGCAATTCTTTGTTTTAAAGATAATTTTGACAGGTTTCTCATAAAGCCATCTGTTTCACCTKGAAATGTGAAGGTGGCTCATAGCATTCTGTGAGGAAAAATGTTACTTACTGTGCTTTTTTTAAAAATTGGGAGTGTTCTTATGAGCTGAAATGAAGAGTTGTGTAAGAAACTCTGTGAGTGCATTCCAAGTTCTTGAACGTCAGAAAACACTGTTAGAAAGTGTCTTGTGGTCTATTCTACCACCCCTGTCTCAAGAGAAGTTGAGAAGTTCCAGCCACCTCACACCAGTAAGCATATGGTCTAAGCATGACAATTCAGCTAAAAGGATATTTTTCAGATGTTAATTTCTTTAAATGTTAATTTATCTTACTTCAGTGGTTTTCTTTCCTCATAAATTGCTGCCTATAAATAGCTGTAGTGGTTTCACGAGGCACTCTGTTGACATTTCTGTACAAGTGATTTGTTAAGAGAATAAATGTAAGACATGCCTGGTTCTGTGAACACTGTCAATATTGGTAATMATTTGCTAACAAGGTTCATTTCTGAAAAGGTTTCAGTGCTTATTGGCAGTCTGTCCAATCAGTTATTGTTTTCCAGCTAAAATGTAGCTTTCTTAAAGAAGTGTRTTGTGGAGAAGTTGTACACATGAGACCATCAAACCACAATCTGCAGGGATTTTAGTACTGGCACGATGTAGTCATTGTCTCTGTAGCCGAGGTCTGTCTAGTCAGTGACCATTTGGGGAGGGCTTGCTGGCTCTGCAAAAGAAGCAATTTGTTACACAGAGACATCCTTGATGCCAACTGTGGCTAGAACAATAGAGACAGGCAACAGAAGAGCATCACAACTATTGTCATAAAATCCTCTCTATTTTAGTAAGCATGTCATTTGATTCTCTCTGAATTTAACAATTTAAGATTGCTGAACATTCCTTCTTTCGTGACTTATGATGTAGATCTATATACCATGAGCTCTACATACCATAGCACTATATACTCTCTAGCTCTAYGGTTTATTCCAGTTCCAAAGGTTGCAGCTACCTGACATACTACTTTGGCATTTTCTTCCTGCTCACAGCATTTGTAGTTCCCAGCCCAGTTATTGCTGTGGGCTGTAATTCATTGAGTTTAGGATATCAAATTTTTTCTTCAAACAGAACCTCTCAAATACTAGCTGAAAGGTGGGACAGATTTTCCACTTGTGACTGTGCTTGAACAACACAAGGGGATTAATACGAAGATGTTTTAATAAGAATTTACACAGGAGGAAATTCATCCTATTTAAAATGTGTCATAAAAACTGGAAACCCTGAAATGTCCTTGTCTGCCTGTTMAATCTGGTTTTAATAATCCCTTGTTTTGAAATATGTAGACGTTCAAATAGATTTGGAAGAAAGGAGTTTTCACAATTTGAAGTCTTCCTGATTTGTTTATTTGCTACGACAGATCTACAGCCAGTTTAATTTTTCCTTTTCTCCTATATCTTTTTTTTTTTTTT